AAAACATGGGGCACACTCACCTTCGTGGATCTCGACACTTACCATGTGTGAGATGAATGGGTCTGCAGCTTTGTATCGTGTGACTTCCGGTAAAAAGGCACGGGGGGGGGGGGGGGGCTGGACGGTAGTTATACATGGGTGCCGTATCCACACTACTCCTGCACTGCCGCACGCCCAGCTGCACGCTTGACCATAGCCGAAAGCGCTACTTGTCTGCGTCTTCCTTCTGGTTATTCTCTACCGCCAAGAGCGTGTTTCGCCACAAGCGCTATCCCTGAAGGATAGCGCGGGCGGTATGGAGACGGCACCCGAGTGTCACTACCCTCCATTAGTTCCTGTGCAACTTTGACTGTAAAAATCGGCTTGCTACGGCAGCCGTGGACCCATTCACCGTCCACGTGGAGAATACCGTCCTCGGACGTGAATGAACAGTTTGTCATTAAGATTGACTAGGAAATAAGGCAATTCTACCAGCACTTCTCGGCACAAAAACTAGTAATATCTTTGGAATGAACTCCTTTCAGCCTTATTATAGCCACACCTTTAGATTACTGCTTAACTGGATCATAATTTCGTGACTTTCTGATGACCTTCAAAATTCTGAAAGATTCAGTGAAAATATGTGTAGAGGACTTTTTTCCTTGTTACCATCTAACACAAGAGGAGCATCGATTAGACTTAACACTACTCATGCGAAAATTCAAATCGAGTTTTTTTAGTAACAGAGTTTGCTCAAGTTTTAACAACCTTTTGCTGGCAAATGTTTTTCCTCTGTAATAGGTAACCTTCAAGAAATGTATTGGTGTATTTGTATAATTTATTGTCTTCAGCTTCATTAGGGATTACGATTTCAATCACATGCTTTTTTGACATATGCATAGAAGAATGAATAATTCGAATTAAATTAGATTTAAAATGATTTAAAGATGGTTTAAAGAAGTTTCCGGAATACTCAACGGTGGCATCAAATTATCAAATGGTGGTTCTTTCCTTTTGTATCGTGGAATCATGCACTAGGGGATCTCTATCCAAAATTGCCTTGCCCTTAGCCAAAACTTCAGTGAGGGCAAAATTCTTTGTTCATAGAGCGGGCGCTCAATATCAAAAGTTGAGCAAACCCAGGTTCGAATTGACCAAAATAAGCGCTCAAAGCTTAAGTATCATTGCCGGAAGTTGTATTCCGCCTATTACATTTCTTGTTTCTAAATTGTATTCGTTTTTTACTTTCTACTAGTTGCTGTTTTGGTTTGCAAGTTTGTTATTACGTTTGTGTGACAGCCTAGCGCGACTATACCCTTATATCTACTACATGAATAAATGGAATGCTAGCTTCATCAAGACGAAAAGCCGTTTTCACCTAGCAGGAACGTGAAGTTCCAATTATTTTCTCAAGTGACATCAATATAGCTTAGGTACACACACACAGATCCCATTAAAACTCTTCCTGATATCTCCACAACCCAAGAATAATGATGAGTTTACTACTGTACCTTGCTGTGCCCTTAAGAACCGCTACCGATACTTGAACATAACCTTCACTACATGCCAATAAACCAAATCAGGTACGAATTCTCTTAAAGGCAACGTATCGACCGAGTCCAGCATGCAAGGCCTGGATAATTATGGCGTCAGATGTGAGAGTTTCGGCCACAAAAATCTGACATTAATCCTTTGATAACAGCTTTGCGGATACATGAAAACACATGGCACCAGTTCCTCGAAAGGCCGCTGAACAGCCGCGGTCATCAGGCTCATTAACTGCTCTTCATTTGGATGGTCCCTACGTGTATTACCCTCATCTGGTACTGTTCAACTACTCTAAATAAGGATGCACAATTTATGTTGTGACATCAAAAAGGTGGTACTCCTCTTTAACTGACATCTCTGGTAAGAGTAACATATTCCCCTCCTTACAAACTATGGCTGTATCCAAACGAGCGTTGGAACTACACAACGACCGTCATGGAAAACGCGTATTCAAGCCTTCCGTCCTTGACAGGTCTCTTGACAGGGTGAACTGTTGATGGGCATTGTCAACTACGCTCAAGGAGCCATCTGGACGCCTGGAACTAATGAAGTCTTTCCACCGTGGGTATCCGTTTCACTAGTGCGATTACCAATCGTACAGATAGGATGCTATGTTACGAACCGCTGCATTGACTCAATCCTTTAGATTACCGGATACGGGATTACTAAGTGATAGTGATAAGGCCATTGAAGAAACGATGGCCAGAAAAGATGAAGAAAAAAAATCTGTCAAAAGTGGCTATGACATTATTACCATTACAACAGACGAAAAGGAAACCAACCAAAAGTTTGGAAAGCATGGTATCAAGAGCAGCAATTGTCTCTACATTTGAAGACGCCTCCTTGTAGTTAAGATTGAGGTAGTGAACAGCAGATGCGAACTCGTGAGCCTGAAAGTATTCAAAATACTTCAATGCAGACGACTGCAAGATGCAATTAATTTTTAATCAGAGCTTTCACTACGACGTAAATGTTAAGGCAATCATTCCTAGACAAGATGTAAGCAGAGGTTTGACCTACGCCTTCTTTCAGATGTAGGCGAAGGTGGTGAAGTAGCATGTGGCACGGTACAGTAAACACCGGGGATAAGATCCCAGGTCAACCAAGCTTTCTACCCTCGGAGGACGGTAAGTTGGTACCAGATCTGTCTGGGAGGACAAGAACACTCGATTGTTGGACACATCGGCTGGCCCCTCAAATCCTTGTACAGGCCACTTCGCATTCGGCTGCAACGATTCTGACTAGAGGTAGAATGCGTGCCGCATCTCACAAAGGGATTGGTCAATGGCAAAGACTTTATCCTTTATATTTTTTAGATGGTGAATCGGGCTTGCACGACCCTATACGGCAGAACTCGAAATGGTTCCAGGCAAGCTCGTTACACAAAACGAAGCCAAGAACAACACTGTGAGTTCCTGATGAATAGCGTTGCTAACTTTTGTAATCCACTTCTGGACAGACCACTACTTGAAAAACAACCAACTAGTTTCTAACGTCAAACAACCACCGGTAACCGCTAACCTGTTAAATGCAAGAATTCCATTTAATAGTTGAGGAATGTCAATGTTCTGAATTCGAAATTCGCTCATGAGGACGAACCTCGACAAATGCCTTCCTCTTGTAGCTAACGTGGTGTAGGAGGACCCAGCTTGATTAGGTACTTCACGCCTTCTTCAAACTACAACGTCTTCTTATGGTTTCCCCTCTCTTCTCACACAATCTCCCTCCGAATCCCCACTGAACAGTAAAGGATGAAGCCTTCGCCGCTGATTAGCCCTTTTGGGATGCAGCACCATTCTACTTCTACTCAGAATCGCAATGGGAATTCGGATGCTTATCGAATGCTATAAGGTGTGCTAAGGACTTGAATCGGCTCTCCCCTGCAATGGCTTGCAGGGGGCAGCATTACAAGGCAGTGTTTTTGTCCTCCCGATTCTGATACCAATTTACCGTCCCTGGAGGAATGAAGGCTCGGTTGGCCTGGATGGGAGTCGAGCCGGGGGGTGGGAGACAAGTCAAGGCCTAATGCTTAGTCTTTTGATATAACTATATACATATATGTTATCTCTAGTATCAGTTAATCTACGTACACTAGGTATGACATCAACAACTTCTCTAAAAGGTTTTGTTTATATCATGAATATGGCCTAATAGCCAACCAACATTGTACTTCATTTACTGTGCCTTCAAGCAACTCAAATTAGCATTATTTTTTATTCAATGAAAAAAGTAATATCGCAAAACGAGTAATTAGTAACTTTGGCACATTCCACTATTACTACTCCAGAAACTAAAAAATCTTCTGCTGAAACTCTGCTCATAAATGTTGTTCGGTGACAAAAAAGAACGTTGGATTACGAATACAACATTCATTTTTGGCGCTGTCGCCATTTGGCGCCATTACCTATCTCACAGAAATTAATGAAAACTTGTATACAGGGAGTTATTTGACATTCTGGTTGCTATCCCCTTTTGTCGCTGGCGCCATTACGCGCCAAATGGCGCCAATTTGGCGCGACCACCTTCTTCACCGATGTCGATGAAAATTGCATGATATTGCTGACTGGTACCCTGGTCACGAGAACGACATTCATTTTTCGATGCCAGCGGGCTTTACCGCGCTGAGGCTGAGCCTGGCAGAAGGAGTGATTCCCATCCCGCCAGGCTCAGCCCTAGCAAAGCGCTGATGATTAGAGTCCTCCATATTGGTTGCTGTTTCAAAAATGGGTATCATATTAGGTGACCACGGCACGAATAACCTCTCGGGGGGAGGGGGGGGGGTTCCGCGAATTGTTTTTGAGTTTCCGGAGTGGTAATAGCGGAATAGTGCCGTAGTATGATAATGCTTTTATTGTATTCGACTGCACCAGGCTGGTAATAACAAACAGCTTCAGGGATACCATAGATCAGTTTCAAAGCCACCATATAATCTATTTGATAAAAGAGTTTAGTGGAAATGTAGGAGATGTCTGTGCTAGGAAATGGGTTTATTGATATACCCTTTTCTACATCAAGCTTGGAACGCTCGTACCTTACGGTCATACTTTTGCACGAATTGAATCGCTGTTATCTACAAGACAAGATTCTGTAAAACACATTCCTCAAGAACTTGCACGGGCGCTCATTCAGTGCATAATCTAGCTACCTCATAGATTATCGTTGTTTTAAACATTGATGAGGCAAAGTCGCACATAAAAACATACATACTGAAGTAATGTTGCCACTGAAATGCTCATTACGGGGCAGCTGTAAACCTGATGTTCTCTCTCTGCAATAGTTCAGAGATATTTTCTTATCCCATTATCTGGTCGCGTTTCCGAAGGGAAGTAAATAAGGAAAAGGGAGGGAAGGAAGGAAAAGAAGGAAGGGCGAGAGAAAAGAAGCAGAAGAGAAGCTCACAGATATCCAGAGACCAAAATTCACATTGAGGACCACCGTCCGCATTTAACCAAGCCAACTTGCTAGCAAATACAAAGAAATCAGCAACTTCAATTAAGAGACAGGAACGGTTCCTCGCACATCCCTTTCACCCAAAGAGTTTTCCATGAAAAACATAATTAATTCGGCCTCATCTAGACTCATGGACGCTGTTGTTGGCAAAAGTGATAAGCGTGCGAATGGCTGGAGGCGCAATCGCCAGGATGAGTTCTTAGTGACGCAAGCACTTTCGGTAAATTAGCACAGAGCGATACGACATTAGCGGCCGCTTTGATATGTATGCCCATGTCTATAGCTAAGCACACATTACGCAAAGGACACTGTATTGAGGACACTGTACCTGAAAACATGAAACAACTCTCAACGATAGCGCATCCTTTTGTGGCATGAGGGGTGAACCCGGACCGAGTGACGAAGAAGGGACCACAACTATCATCAATACGAGTTAATGTAGAAGTTGGGGCCGTAGTAGAAGATAGAAAATATTACCACCGCAGCTGAGATGTGTTCAAAATTTTGGATTTTACGGCTGTCAAGTCCGCGTTGGGCTATCGAATGCGGCATGTAGTACCACCTGTGTTCCAATAGACACGACAAAAAGGGTTCTTGCTTCTAATTGAAAAAAAAACAGAAATTTTCGATACAAAGCATTCCGGCACTACAACTCTTTACTGCCTCAGTCTTCAAAACCAAGCCAGTTTTTTCGCCGTCCTTCTTCTCTAAAAGCAGGCTTGGCCAAAAAGTCATTTCTAGAGGTAGTTTGACCCCGTGAACACGAATGTTACACGCGGATTCGAAACTGCGTGGCATCCGCGCTGCAGGCGAGGGCAAACATGCTTGTTTTAACCCCGGCGCTGTAACGCGAACTCCAAGTGATTTTCGCCAAACGGTGTGCTCGAGGAGTTACGGGGAACACGGCGGCAGAGCACTTAGGAAGAAGCGGCGAAACAAAATTCTTCCTTTTGATAAGGCTCAGCCTGAGCCGAAGAAGGGATCATATTTGGGGGAAAGTGCAGACGAGAAGAAGCAGCCCGCACTGTCACGTGTACCC